CCAAAGTCAGGTGTGACCAGTGCTGCAACCAACACTCCCGCTTGTCATCAGGAAAGCATCTGATTCTGCATTTCTGGGAATCAGAGAGAAGCATCTCTACAAGCTTCTATGAGCTCTATCATGCTACAAGTACATGAAGTGGTTATGTCTGCATGCTAATTATTATTTCATAGAAGACATATCCTCATGTGTTCACAGACTAAAACAACAAGAACAAAAAAAGGAAAACCAAAAAATACGACTCCAGAAAATATCTTACACAGTGGAAAATTCTCCTCTGAACTGCAAACCCCACCAGTGCAGACAGGCATCTTGTGCAAGTGTAAATGGGCCCAAACCTGTGGGGAGAAACAGTTAAGTTAACGCAAAAACCAATTTCCAAACATTTCTCACAAAAACCAGGAGGAGACAATTATCTAATAGGTGGGTAGGAGGTATTAAGGCCTGAACAAGGAGGCTATTTTTAATTATATTTACCCTGAGTCAGTGCAGGTATTTTCATATGGTCTTCAAATCAATTTCTATTTGTATCAAAATAAGATAACAGTAAAAATGTTGTGTAAAAACTACAGAAATGGAAGCTGAAAAGGTCCTCAGATGTCATTTAAATCTGACATTGAAGATGTCAAGGTACTGTTAGGAGACACTCTGCTTTCCAGAGCTATGGCCCAGCAAGCAGGCTGTGTCCTGAGCTTGCCATAACAACAATCCTTTGTGCTCACCTTCTGTTTTTTGTTTTTTGGTGAAGCAATCGGGGTGAAGTGACTTGCCCAGAGTCACACAGCTAGTGAGTGGTATGTATCTGAAGCTGGATTGGAACTCGAGTCCTCCTGACTCCAGGGCTGGTGCTCTATCCACTGCGTCACCTAGCTGCCCCACACACTCACTTTCTGGCACTGACGATCTCTGAGCTTGGGCAAACACCAACAGGCCCAGACAGGAAGCCCTGCTGTGGACTTTTGTCACCAGATAACCGTGCCTCACTGTTGCTCCTGCGGCTACACTGCACTGGTTGACTCTTTGTCAAGCCGCAAATTAAGGACCAGCCCTACTAAAGGGGTCTCCCCCACTGGGGGGGGGGGGGAACCCTGGCACTTGTGTCTATTCTCCCTCCTTGCCTGTAAGCCATTTTCCTCCCTTTGAAATTAAACTCGTTAGACTGCTGACTCTCTTGCCTCTAGCTCACTCTGCTGGGCTCCGGCCACCCACAAATTATAGGCTGCTTTGGTCGGGTTGACAAAGACGACAGAGGCGGCGAGTGAAGCCCCAGGGAATAAATCCAAGCCCTTTGACTCCGGCACCACGGTTCTCTCCACTGGGCCCAGTTTCCTTGAAATGAAAAGATTTGAGTTTCCGGAGGCCAAAGGCAGTTTTTGAATGTCCAGGAGGGCACGAACATGGTATCGTGACTTGGTTTCCAACTTCAATGCAAGGTTGCCACTTCTTGGCCATATGCCAAGAGGCCAAGCCACTTCTCTGAGGCGGCTCAGTATTCTAAGACAATGGGCATGGGCCAGATGATTCCTAAGGTCCCTTCCGGGTCCAAAATCTATTGCCTAAGGACTAGACTTCTTAAATGACAACCCAGCTGCACCCAAATGCCAGGCCATGGAGCAGCACCTACCTACTCCAACCCAACTCTTAGGCCTTCTATTCTTTATTCACAGTTGAGTCAGCATTGTGATGACTTGATGTGGTCAGGTCATTTTTGGAGAAACAGGAGGTGAGAAAGTACACTGAGCTTCTTTGTAAATACAAGTGCTGAGTCTTGAGATGAAGAGCTTTTTTGTAGAAGTGGTGTGTCCCCTCCCCTTTTCTCCACTTCCTCCTGCGCACGTCTCCCAGAAAGGTCACCTGCTTGTCTTTCTTGGGGATGCAGAAGAATGGCCTGGGCACCAATGCGTTTCTCACGGGCCTGTCCGGAGTTCTTCTTGGCATATTCTCACACTGACTTCAGAATATGTTTTTCTATAACAAGCAAGCATCTCTAACAAGGCCTTTGTTCCCAGAAGACTCAAGATTAAGAGGGACTTTAGAGATACCCGGACAGAGGCCATCATGTCACACATACAGTAAGTAACAGAGTCAAGGCTTAAGCCACTGGCACCTTTCCTGCTAGGTCACACTGGCCATCTCAGGTGAAAGCTCTGCACTGTTATTCAGGGGAAAAATCTGCTTACTGACATTGTACTTTGAAAAGTGAACGACGATGCATTACAGTCTTCCAAAAGGACAAAAGGACACTATTAATAGGCACAAACATGCCTACATCAGACCCAGAAGAGTGAGAAACAGACGACAATAGGTAGGAAAGAAGTACGCAGTGAAAAAATCAGCATTTTGTGGTGAGAGCCACAAGTCTGTGAGACTCTCCTTTGAAATGTAGTTTGTCTCATTTCAGAAGTGCACATTGGCTGTTTTTTGTTACAGAAGATGATATTTGTACATCACTTAATGGAAGTCAGTCACATCCATGAACACCAGTATCTCAAAACAGATTACAAAAGCAGACAATTTTGTTTCTTCAAAATTTTATTTCAATTTAAATTACAGGGCCAGCCAGATTTTCCAATATAAATGCATTTTCCTTGGGCAAAATGAAATGCTTTTATATGCAGTAGTTACAATTGTATACATCTCTACTTTTTTTTTTTAAGGGCAAAAGTCCCATGAAATAACTGCTTTAGTCTATGCGAGCCTTCCTAACACTTGAGAAGAAACCACTTTCAGTACAAGCTTTCCATACTACAAACATGTCAAATGATCAGAACTCTAAAACACACCTTTTTCTTAACTCTCAATGTTTTCACATTCTGTTAAAAAAAAACAAACACCAAAACAAACCCAAATAAAGAAAAAAATGCCACAGCAACTGCCTGCAGAACCCAATGGGATAGTCCCAAGCCCAGGCTCCATTTCGCACACTCCCCCCCTCCCCCTTTTCTGCTCTATGGACAGAAAGCTTTACTGCTAGTACACACAGCCAAAGTGGAAGCTCTGATGTTCTGAGAAATCTCTTGGCAAATCAACTCTGTTCCACTCAACTGTGATCAGGGCATCTGCACCAACACCACGTCATCTGTCATACAGCGCCAGGCAACACAAACGGTCACACTTACAATTCTTGTGACCACTTGTGCCTTTCTACAAAAGAAGGAAAATTCCCTGTTCCAGAAGTTAAGTCACTTCCCCTATTTCCAAAAGGAAACGTGAATTATTTTGCACAGAGTAGTTTAAGATCACTTTTAAAAGACCAATTATAATATTGAGCATCATTTCCATTAGAGAGAACCAAACTGGACTCCCTTTTCTTAAGGGTCATGCTCTTATCTGGCCTCCTTACATGAAGGCTCTAAAAATGAACAAAAACACCAACTGAGAGCCCCATTCTACCAGCAGAGAAAGAATGTCATTAGGAAGAGAGGCTAGCGAAGGATGGACAACTCGCTAAGTCCTGAATCAGCGGTGGCCAGGCAGCGCTTCGACTCTCAGGTTCTGATCCAAAAGCTGTCAAGCTGTGATCCTGGCAACCTTGGCAAGAAAACACACACCATTCCTGACCGCTCTGCTCAGCTACACTCCACTGGGAGTTGTTTTGTGGCGCTCACAGTAACAAAAGTGATGCAACATCAGTTCTTTGTAAATACGGATAATTTGCAATATCTAGGGACAGGAAATGGGGGTGGGGAATGGGGTGGGAGGTGGTGGGGAACCTTTCCTGCAGGATGTCTCATGACTAAGAACTCGTCATGGTCTACAAGAAGCTGGGGTTTCCATTCTTCAGTCCCACAACTATTGTACTGGACCACGGAGACACTAGGAAAGAAACGGGGATGCTCTATGGGGGCCCCCACCCCTCACCCAAAGAACCAGCAGGAATTGAGCATCATCTTTACCATTTATTTATAGATCTGGCCAATATTAGAATACAGTTTGCGGGCTCCCATTCCCAGTGAGCCTATTCTAATGGATGGCACCCAGTTAGAGAAGGGAGTACAAAGAATTTGGCTGTTCTTCCCTTTAATGCCACAGAAAGTACTCAGGAAAGTGTGAAATCAGCATTTCCACGGGATTGGAGAGATTCAATTACATAGGAGCATTCATTTTTGCAAAAACTCAATATTAGGTAATAGTTACAGACTAATACAATAACATTCTTCTGCTGTACAAATTAAATCATTTTAAAGAAATGAGTAGTCTAGTAGTTATATACAAAAGAAATCTGTAAGCACTGTTGAAATGAAATGTCACTGCTAGTTCTACTGTCTTAAAATACCTTCAAAAAAGTAAAATGAACAAAAACCCTTGAACATCTCCAAGTTGACAAGTCTCAAGAAAATCAAATCAAATGTCAAAAAAAATTTTTTTTTCTAGAAAGCACTGAAAAGCATATATACATTTTTCCTTACGAACTTTCTCAGGCTTCATTCACACTTTGGAAAAACTGCTAAGTTGCAATATATCTATCGGCTTATTAGCATGACAACTATCCCCCAGAGTGCACCTCTTTGATACATTTCCCCTTTGATTACAGATAAAGCACTGAACATTTTTGTTTTCTTTTGTTGTTGTTGTTGTTGTTTTTAATCAAGGCATATAATCGGATACTAATGAGGCCAAGTGTGCACAGGTCATGTTGTGCTCAGATTTCAAACAAGTAAGTGCAAATGTATTGGACTGAATCATATTGGCAAGCATGCAACCTGTCACTTCACCGAACTATAACCTCTGTGTTGGCTTTTAGAAACCTCGCATTCTCAGGACCCCTCGAACAAGCAGTGTCTTTGAATTCTGAAATGACATAAAGATCAAGAAAAGGTCCACACGGTGCTCTAATGTGCAAGAAAGCAGCAGCTATGTTTTTCAACTTGGACTGAAAAAAAAAAGGAAAAAAGGAAAATGAAAAACCGTTCACTGAACAGCAGATTAGCAGTAATGTTCCTCATGAGTCGATACGAGCGCCTGATGCTGAATATCTAACAGCAAATGCTGACTTGGGGTTTAATATTTTAGATGTTTATTTACTGGAGATTAAGCTTCTTGCTGTGCTGGTCTCTTCAAATCCCTGATCTGTTTAACTAAATAGGTCTTCTCATCATTAAATTGTTCATCCTCGGTCCTGTCATTCTGAAACTTGCTGAGAAACTCAATCAGTTTCGTTTGGTTCTTGAGAAGGATGTCTAGGATTGGCTGTGTTTTGTTAGGATTGGCTACAAACACCTGCAGGGAGAAGAAGTAGAGATGTTAGCTCACTCGACTGCAACGGACCCAGCCTCGCTCAAAGGCCGGCTTCTGAAACGTGCTCATTTATAACAGGGATTCCTGTTGAGAGAATGTCTGGTGATAGCTGTCCACCACGTGACAAATACAAGTACAAAAAAGGGAAACCTAACCATTCTTTAAAAGCTATGTGAAGAACTCCTCACTCCAATGACTTTTTCTTTATTTTATTTCACCAAACTTTAGCCTGCTGGAGGATAAAAAGAAACTCAAGCCAACAGAAAACACATCCAGAAAGTCATATCTGGAGATAAACAAAACTCATCCCAAAAGGGCACACACGTACACATGCCTACCCTGAACTCCAGAGGTCAGTCCAGACTGGTACAGTGTGCGAGTTATGGGCCAGGGGGAACAAAGGTCTGTTCTAGCTCTTGGTGTATTTTTTTTTAACTTTCAGATAGATACAAAAACTGGAACTAGGCTTACAAAAGCACTGACAGGAAAAGGCCCTGCTTTAACGACTATTTTAAAAAACGATTTGCAAGCAAGTAGCTTTCTTTGGCATCTGGAATTTGGTCATATGGAAATGGCTGCTCCTAAAACACCACTGAATCCCAGGGAGAGAATCCCTGTTTGCACCCCCTCCCCCCAATCCCTTCTCCTCCACTAAAGCTCACGGGATGTGTTCTCTGTAAAGGGCAGGGGAGGAGTCACAGCATTCAGGCAGAGGCAGGGAGGGCGGGCTAGCACTGAAAAGAGGCATGCGGGCAGCGGCGAGAAGGTGTGGAGGGCCAGCGAAGGCTCAGGCTAAGGTGCTGACTGTTGCTCAGGAGGTAGGTGGGATCCGCTCAAGGTTTTAGAGAATTCCAGTAACTGCTTTAAGCGTGGACTCTTACTCTGTTTTCATAATGGATGAAGATTCATTCCTGGCTCAGAGGCATGAATGTGGATGCTTAAAACCAGCAGCATTAAAAATGGGCACCACTCATTCTGGGGTGACAAAATGACTCCTGACGGCAGGGAGGTTTGCCAAATTATTACTATAGAGGGGAAAAAGGGAAACTTTCTTCTAAGTGCAAACACTCACAGTCTCTGTCCTTCCACTGGCTGTCTAGTATCAGAATTTCAATCGGGTCCACCCCCTGTCTTGGTCTCACACACTGCACGTGGGAGAAGGGGCTGCTGTGGGGCGGGGCCTAAGGCCCGGGGCCAATCCCCTTCCCTCAAAATGAGGTTGCCGAGAATGCTCGGGGCACAGTGCCAGGACTGGCTCAGAGCAGGAGGGGTCTCCAGGAGCACACTGGCCCACCAGACTCACTTTACAGGCCCTCGGAGCGGCCCTCAAGAGCTGGCCAGCTCCCTGCCGCCCCCCTGTGCAGGCCCCCTTTTCATCACAACCATACGATCAGCCCCATTAGCAGAAGCCCCAGGAGATGGTCTCAGGACAATACCTTAAAGACGTGGAAGGCCTCAAACTGTATGTTGCGGCTCTTGTCCCGCAGAAGGTTCATCATCAGCTTGAGGTTTTCAGGCTTGCTGATGTACTTTGTCATAATTGTGAAGTTGTGTCTGTCCAGCAGGAGCTCCCCGAGAAGCTGAGGAGAGATTACAACAAGCGCTGTGAGACCGGGAAGAGCCGGCCAGAGCGCCCCAGAGAATCAGCTCCCAGGACACTTCACTGGACTTGTCTGAAAACCCAGGGCTTGGCTCCACCTCATGCACTTTCTTTCTTTTTTCTTTTTTTAATTTTTATTTTTTAGGCAATCGGGGTTAAGTGACTTGCCCAGGGTCACACAGCTATTAAGTGTCAAGTGTTTGGTCTGAGGCCAGATTTGAACTCAGGTCCTCCTGACTTCAGGGCCAGTGCTCTGGCCACTGTGCCGCCTAGCTTTCCCGCTAATGCACTTTCTAGGGAACAGCTAGCCCTGCACAAGCCCACACGTCGGGGGATTTTCATCACTTAGGATGATGGAAACCTTTCCAAAGCTGATCTCATCCTCTGCAGTCTTCTGTGTTTCCCCTTTTCTCAATGCCTGGTGAACGACCAGATCCCGAGAGTGGAAGGAGACCCCGCAAGCGTCTGGGCTGGCCCCCTCCTCTCCAGAGGACATCCTCTCTTCCGCGTCCCTGACGGCTGCTCAGTTTCTGCTTGAATACCTCAAAAGGCGGCTCCTACTACTGGGCATCTCGAATGGTGAGAAAACTTTTCCTGCCCTCCGCCTCCCTCTGACTTTTCCTCCCTGATTCCAGTTCTTGACTTTGGCACCAACTGAGCAGAGAGTAGACCCACTTCCTCTTGCACACACTGTCCTTCAAATGTCTGAACAAGGTCAAAGTTGGCTCTCCAGCTAGTCTTCCCCTGCCCTGCCCTCCCAGGCCCTCACTCCCTGGGGGAGCGGTGACCCTGATGACTCAGAGCAGAACAGCCCCTGTTCTGGATGCTTCTTCAGTAGTCCCCGCACTGACGCCAACGACAACCCATCTGCCACTTCGCAGACCATCTTCCGGAGCTGCTGATGTCAACAAATGTGGCCTGGGACCGATGTGAAGACCGGATGGCCCTCAGGGGACAGGCCCGAGCCTGCTCTTAGGGGCCCCCTCCCAAGCCTTGCAGAGGCAGGAGCCAGAACGGGGCTCTGCGTCCTCCACTGCCTTTTAAAACAAACTCCACATTAGTCATGTTGTGAAAGAAGACACAGAGCCAGAGGGGTAAAAAAAAAATACAGAAAGTGAAAAACAGTCTGCTTCCATCCACACTCAGGACGCCAGCAGGTCCTTCTCTGGAGGCGGGATCATTCTCATCATGAGTCCTTGGCACTGCTTTGGATCACTTTACACTCCTATTCATGCCCCCTGGCACTGCCTTTGGGGGCAGCTGCCCTGTACGCATGGGTCCCAACGAGGTCATGTTCTTTTCTCCCAAGTGAAATGCTAAGCAGATCCTCCCCTCTTCCATCTTGTACACATGCTTGATTTTTTTAAAAAAAAACCTAATGCAGGACTTTATAGTTTACCCAGAAACTTAATCTTGTCAGATAAAACTTGAGTTTTATTCTCTGTCTTTGTATTTTCAGCACCTGGCTCGGTGCCCTAGCACATAGTAGATGCTTCATAAACTCCTGTTAGCGGATTTAATTAATAAGGCTCATGGCTCCACACCAATTCTACTTTACTGTTTTTAGTTGTTTTGGTTGGGAAAAACCAGATAATCATGCTTGCTAGAGCTGTATTTGTTTTTAAAGTTCTGGACAAGGGTCTAAGGAGCCCTGTCTACGTAGACAGACTCTGTGATTTCTGCTTTGGCTGCTCAGAACTTTTCTATTTCCTAAGTTTTCCTTGTTCTCCAATGTGTTCTAGATTATGAATGTCACCACCAGGCAACTGCTAAAGAAATGAGAGCCGGCCACAATTAAATTCAAATGATTTCGACATTTTCATTGGAAAAGTTCTAGGAGTTCTGAAGAAGAACCCCAATGTTATTAACACCCTCCTCCATAAGCTTCTACCTGAGCTTCCTCCACCAAACCAAGTTCTCCACACTGAGCAATGACCAGTCCCCATTCGCAGGAGCAGGCAGAAGCTTGGGCCCTGGGGAGGGCATCCTGCAGACAACAGCTGGCCGGTCAGCACAGCTGGAGTCCCTGGAGCACTAAGGATGCCTCTTTCCCAGGTTTGTAAGGCCTGAGGCTCTTCATTAGCACAGTGAAAAGGCCTGTGTTCTTAACCATCCCATTCTACCCACTTCCCAAATCTCAAAAGAGAAATAATGTAAAGCCAACGGCCATACCTTGAGCGACTGTCTTTTTGTTACATAATTTTCTGAATGAAGTAACTTTTCGTATTCACTGAAGAACTGAGAAGAGAAGAAAACAAACGTTGATTGTTTCCCCCTGAATATCAGACATGAACTAAACCTAGCGCCCCATAAACATGAGGAGTGGCCACACACAGCCCTTTTCCAGGCCCAGGCCTCAGCCTTCCTGGCCTCTCCTCGCCCAGGGGTCCGAGCCCTCTGGGGGCTTACCTCCATCTTCTGGCTTCCCTCCTTGGAAACGCGCTGCTCCTCCCCCGTGGCCACTCTGACAGCGAGTCTTTTCATCAACCCCTTCCAAAGATCTCCCCCAGTCACCCTGACTCCTCTCCACTCTCAGGCCAGGTCTTCATGAAACCTCAAGGTGACGACTATAACCACTCCCTGGCTAGCTTCAGCCCTCAGTTCACTCTCCCTTATGCTATTCAATGGATAGCTTCCAGAAACAGACATTTCATTACACTGCTGCTCCTGTTTAAACCTCTATGATGACTCACTGTTACTTGTAACATAAATTTCAAACCGACTATCTGGCTACCTTGTGCCTCCTAACCCACCCTCCAGGCCCCTGTATGGCAGCAGGCAGGAGACTGAACCCCCTTGTCTTCTGCCCCAGCCTGCTGTGAGATGGGGCTCCAGGGCCTCACAGGACATCCTTCAACAGTCATGGGGTCTGATCTCTTCCCACCCACTCTGGACTCATTCCTCAATGGTTAGCATACCTTCATTATCTTTTCCTCTAATCATTTCACTGATACTCAACTCCCAGATCCCCATAAACAACCCCTCTCTCTGATCCCTCCTCCCCACTGACCTCACCCTGAGCCCCCAAATGCCTACCCAGATCTCCTTCCACTGGATGCCTGCCCTTATCTCAACCTTTGCCATTCTCACTCCCTGAGAAATGGCTTCCCCTGACAATGCCCTTTCCACTACTAGCAACACCTTCTCTCACTGGATGACCACCCTGATCACCGCTGCCCCTTCCAGACTCTTCCTCTACCACCATAATTCAGCATCGGTTTCCTCTTTTGGAGTTCACACTAACCAAATTATCCCCCAATCCAGGTCCTGGTACCACGATGTTCTCCTTCCTTACAGGTAAAAGCCCCTCATAAATGCTTTCTCCACCAACCTATCTACCCCAGTGCCTGTTCTCTGGAGGACTTTAATATAATACAGCAATGTTCCAGCACCCCAATCCACCCATTCCTCAATCTGCTCAATCCCCATGACTTCTCGCCTCTGGCTCAGCTGCAGATAGGCATGGTCATAGCACTTCTATGCTCTTCTATGTTCATGAACAATGGGATTCCTTCCTCTGGTCACTGGCTTTGGTCACTCCTTCTCTCCTATGACTTCGGACCTTGCCAGGGCCTCAGGACCTTCCCCAGGCCATCACCTTGCCCTGGCCACCAATTCTGACCCTCTGGGGAGTCTCTTCAATTCTGTCCTGTCCTCTGCTCTCAGGTTGTTTTCTCCTTTGTTCTCCCAGCAATCACACCTTGCCAAGACCTAGTCCTAGACTCCCCCTATATGGCTAACCACCCCCACCCCAGGACTCTGCTCGGGGTCTTCTCACATGGTGAGCTCATCAGCTCCATGGGTTCAATGATCATCTCTAGGTCAACGACTCCCAGACCTATCCCAGTCCTCCACCACCAACTGCCTACTGGACATCTGACCTTGATGTCCCCGAGGCATCTCAAACACAGCTCATTAGCTCTCCCCACAAACTCCTCTTCCAAACTTACCTGTTTCCTTCTTTTTTTTTTTTTTGGCTAAGCAATGGGGTTAAGTGACTTGCCCAGGGTCACACAGCTAGTAAGTGTCAAGTGTCTGAGGCCAGATTTGAACTGAGGTCCTCCTGACTCCGGGGCTGGTGTGCTATCCACTGTACCACCTAGCTGCCCCTCAAACTTACCTATTTCTGTTGAAAGCACCACCATTCTTCTAGTCTCCCAGGTCCATAACCTCAGGGTTGTCCTCAATTCCTCATTCACCCTCACCCTTACCCTCCAAATCAATCAATTGCCAAATCTTGTCTTTTCTATCCACACAATTTCTCTCCTGTACAGACCCTTCTTGCTACTCACTCAGCCCTCATCACCAGTACTATGACCACATCCTTCTAACAGGCCCCCCTGCCTCCATCTCTCCCTATTCCACTTTTGAAAATGATTCTCCTAAGTGTGGGTTGGATCATGTCACGCCCCTACTCAGAAACCGCACGGCGCCCGATCACCGCCATGATCAACGCAAAGTCCTCTGTTTGGCACCTACAGCTCTCCGAAGCCTGGATCCTTTCTACCTATACTGTCTGCTTACACGTCACTCCAAATCCAGTTACACTGGTCCGTCTGCTGTCCCTCATACACAGTGCTCCATTTCCAGCCTCCACAGCCCTGCACAGGCTCCTCCCAATCCTCACTTCCGCCTCCTTAGTATCCTTGGCTGCCTTCTGCACCCTTTCTGGTTCCCTCCCTACTAGAGCCTGCCCCTCCAAGGTGACGTTCCTTCTATTCTTTGGGGATCTCCTAAGTACTTGGTCACATATACACTGTCTCCCCCATTTGGCTACAAGCTATTGTGGGTTTGGTTTGGTTTTGGTTTTTTGCCTTTCTTTGCATCTTCAGTCCTTAGCTCAGTATCTGGCACACAGCTAGCTCTTAATAAAAACAGTGCTTGTTTCACTCATTTATCAACCGAATCCCATGCTGCCCTGCCAACTTTATTTCCCAGTGTTACCCCCTGAATCCTAAAGAGTCGCCTGTCTCAACACTGAGCGCACAAGATTTTCTCCCTCCTCCTGGTCTGCCTTTACTCACGGCACACACTTCCCCTTCTATTTCCCACTTCTCTACCATCCCTACCCAAACCTGACAATCAAACACCCAGCATGCAGCCCTGCCCAATACTGAATAAACTAGGACTGATTCTAAGTCTGGATCGGCAATCTCTGACTTCAGTTAGGAGCTTCAGATCAATTTAAGATGCAAACGTTCAATATGGGACAATCTTTAAGTAGACGCCAGCAGCAGATCCAAAAATTGGGCAATCCCTCCCTCTGGTGGAGGCATTTATCATTACACCAAAGCAACAAATTCTGATCTTTAGGACTGGGACAGAAGTAAGATTAGAGCTGGAAGGGGCCCCAGACCAACACTAGCCCAACCCACTCATTTAACAGATGAGGAAACTGAGACCTTGGGAGCAGAAGTGACTTGCCTAAAGTAAAACAGGTAGTGCCTCAAACACACCCTGCACTTCATAAATCATGGAAAGGGATGCCCTTTGGATAGCTCCTCTTAGCCCAGTGTGGAGGGCTTCCCGCGTATGAGGCACTGGTGCTAGGTGCCAAGGGACCCAGGAGTCCTCCGGGGGGGCTCACTACACAACACGTACTCCACCAAATTCAACACAGGCAAAGAAAGCACTTGCTAGCTCGGGGATGAGGAAGGCCTCCGAGAAGGCGGTGCCCAAGGGCTGTGCTCGACATGGAGCGTATTCCAGGAATGGGGAGCAGTTCAATGAAGTGTGCGTGGAGGGAAGAAACAGGAAATGTGGCTAGCCAGACCACAACATCAGACGAGACGCCTATACCGTACAACGTAGAAGCAACAGATAATCACCACTCAAGGTTTTTGAGAAGGGGCGCAACACGGCTAGACTCGGGACTTACAAAAACCACTCTGGCAGCCGTGTATCAGGCAGCACGCATTAGAGAAGATGAACGAGGAGACAACACGATGTTACAACAGTCCAGGCGAGGAGCCCCGGTGAGCTCAGTGAGCTCACAAATCGTCCCTTGCACAAAGATACGCTGATTAACAAATAAACAGAAGGGGGCTTCCCCTAATTATCTTCCCCTTTCAAAAAGGGGGAGCACGTCAGGTAAATCCATTTCATCTGCGGTTTAACAGGGAGATGAAAATCATTTCTCGGCACGGCTTTTCCTTTGGTGTAGAAGCAAGGGCAGCTTCACACGGGGGTGGGGGTGGGGGGGCGCCTCAGTTTCTTCATCTAAGAAAGGAAGGTATTCAGAGATGAACACAATAGTCCCAAATCTTAAGCACTTTGAAGGTTCCTTCTAATTCAAATTCTATGATTCTATGCAGCATCTAATTTTAACATTTAATCCTTCATTTCTAGTAGCTAGAAGAAATTAAGACTCATAATGCACAGTTTTATAATCTTATATAGACTCACTCTATCATAATGCTGCTCCAAAAATTCGGCACTCAGCAACTTGTGTCTTGTAAGTAAATCCTAGAAAAGAAATTAGAGTTTCACAGCTTTTCTCAAATATGTAAGGATTCTAAAGTTCTAGCCCATTCTTCTACCAATGAAGAATTCTGATAGGTTAAAAATGCCTCGGTTATTAATACTTAAGGGAGAATTCAAGTGAAAATGCAGTGGCTTAACATTAGCATCAGCGACATGAAATGACCCATAATTTGAAAGGAACAGCCCCCAAAGCTGACATACTGTTGAAACATTACAGTGGGCATGACCTAAAAAGGGGAAATGGTCAGGTGTAGGGTGGGGAAAAGGGCAGAGGAAGGGTAAGACTGAAAGGACTGAAAACACAGCCAGGTGGTGAGAACTTCACTTTAGGACTGTGTATTAAGAGTTAATTCAAACAAACCATAAGCCACTAGCAGCTCTGGCTAATGGCACTAACCACCAAACCGAATGGCTAAAATGCAAATCTTAAGTCCCCATAGCAAGTTAAGTGACTTTGTTTAAAGGGAATCTTTGGGAAGGATCTAACAGCTCAAAGGAGCTGAGGAGAAGAAAAGGAAGGAACTTCCAGAGTCAGAAAGAGCAAAGGAATGGGGGAGGAGGAACACGGGACAAAGCCCCTGAATATGGCAAGCAGAGGGCTGCAGCACAGGTCCAAGCTATGGATCCAGGGGCTCGCTCAGGCTGGGCTTGATGGGTACAGAAAGAGACAACCAGTGGTCTTAATGCACTGTGGTTAAAAACAGGTTATTTTTTCCACTTAATTCCAATTACATGTGTCACACTGAAACACTTTTACTTATTATGTATTTCAGAAATAGAATCTCTCTCTTTTTTTTTAAGGCAATTGGGGTTAAGTGACTTGCCCAGGGTCACACAGCTAGTAAGTGTTAAGTGTTTGGTCGGAGGCTGGATTTGAACTCAGGTCTTCCTGACTTCGGGGCCGGTGCTCTATCCACTGCGCCGCCTAGCTGCCCCTAGAATCTCTTTTTTTAAAAACCTCACTAACATCATCTGGCAAGCTAACACCGACAAGAGCCAGAAAAGTGGAATGAAGGATTCCCTCATCTGGCCTGTGGCTTCAAACGTATGTCACAGTCTCCTTCAGGACAGCCCAGTCTGCCACTTGGGACCCAGTGGGATGTGGCCTCAGGCATCCTGTTACATTCAGGCTTGTGCAGAAGATAAGGAGAAGTGGTTCCAATGAACAAATCTTTTCACCTGAAAATGAAGCATTCAGCCTACTGCCGTTCCCCAGGAAACCACAAGTGGCCCCTGATCTTGCAGACTCCCCCAACGGCTTACACGGAACCTTTCTTTAAACTTTGTCCCTTTAACTATCAGAGGTCTCTTTCAAGGTGCCTCTGGATGTGTCTACTGAAGAGATTTCACCACGAAACTTTTCCAAAACTACTTTCCTCTGTATGTTCATGGTTTTTCCTCAGTGTTAAGTTTTGGAAGTGGGAAAGGAGAAAGGAAATGAGCCGTGGGTCTTCAGGTCCTTTTTGGGGGTGAGAGTGTTAAAGCCAAGTTCAAATTGCCTTTACATGTAATTGGGAAAAATAAAATACTATTTACATTGGGGGGTAAAAAAGGCAGATTCATTTTTCTCTGAACCAGATGCTTCAGTAGGAAGCTTTGCATCCTTTAAAGCTACAAGTACAATCTAAAAACTACTTCTATCTGGTATGCCCATTTCCCCCCAGCTCTTCAAAGACTAACAGCTCATATAAGAAACAGAAGTCACTTTTAACTAGAGTAAAATAAAGCTGAACATTAACAGTAAAGATTTGGTTCCCTATACATTAAGTTACATATGCAAAAATACAAACTCTAAATTTCACCCATATATCTTGTGAGACAGGTATATGACGTGAATTATTTTCAAATCTAACAATAAGGATTAAACAAAATAAATGATAGAATGAAGCGAACAGTTATAGAAAAACATGCAGCCAGACCATCCCTTGTATTTGTTTCCCTGGCTCAGCCATCCCAACGGACAGTTGGGTGTTCTAAGGTGGCAGTCATGTACAGGATAACCCACAGGGAAGCACAGGCCACTGGGCCTCAGCAACTGCAATAGGTGAATCCTTGAAAATTCCCCCTCTGTGTGTGAGCCCACGTACACACCTGCATACGTGTGTGTATGATTAGTTCCCGCACATATACATTACCTTGAATGTGGCAAACGCATCTGAAGCTATGTCAAATGTTGACATTTCAACATATCTGAAGAAATCATAAAACTGCTCTGACCACAAAATGATTTTGGCAAGAGGTTCATGTCTGATGCATTCTCTCAGCATTATTCCACAATTAAGAGCAATTTCTGGAGATTCGTACCTGTAGAAAGAGCATACACACAAATACTTTTTAAAAAATCCCAACACTGCTGCACAATAGACACGTTATGGGCAGATCACCTTTCTGAAATTTCCTAGCTAAACACCCCAGTTAACTTTCAAAGGAGCAGAGAGGCCTATGCTGTCTCTCACCTAGCTACTCCAGCCCTATCATTTGTTATTACAGACGAGGACACTGAGGCCTGGAGAGGCTAAATGACTTATCTGAGGACACCCAGGTAGTTAACTAATCTAAGGTAACTTATACCTTTATAAATTAGAACACCTAACCAGGTAGTTTTTAGTGCTGTTAATTTCTAAAAAAAACAAACACACACAGATGACATCACCATGAAGGGGGGTGTGGGGGGCGTTCAGTCATGTCTGACTCTCTGTGATACCATTTGAGGTTTTCTTGGCAAAGATACAGGAGTGGCTGGCCAATTCCTTTTCCAGCTCATCTTACAGATGAGGAAACTGAGGCCAACAGAGTTACATGACTTGCCCAGGGTCACACACGCTAGTAGTGAATGAGGCCAGATATGAAGGCAGGGCATTCTGTGCACTATGGCGCTCCCTAGTGGCCACGTGATAGTGGTGCACGTTTTGTACAGAAGCGTTTCTTATCAAACCACCATAGAGCCTGCAATTTGGTTAGTTTTACATTCGGGGCCTTCACTTTTCAGAAAAGGTCCAAAACTGAACCAAGAACTCTGTTTTGAAGTTGTTGAGAAAATCATATTGTCAATGCAAACATTCTAGTCCAGAGCTCCCTGACTGGTCTCCTCGTACCTAATCCATCCCTCACACAAGGAGCCAAAGCTAACAGGGCAGACCGTGGTAATGCCTGCTTAAAAATCTTCAGTGGTTTTTGACCGACAGAAACGTCCTGGCTTTCATTTCAAGCCTCCACACAAGCTGGCTCTCACCCCCTTTTCCAGACTTCCTCCTCCCCATACACTCAACATTCTGATCAAACTGGCTGAACTGGCCTGCCCCCCCCCCCCACATGTCACATCCCATCTCTGACCTGTCACACAGGCTGATCCCGTAACTGACGCGCCCTCCCCAACTCCCTTCATGCCTCCCGACTCCACTCTAGTGCGAGAAGAAAGCGTCCTTCCTATTCCCCTCAGTTCCCTAATTTATTTTCCATGTCTATATAACACAGACCCCTCGGTCTGGCATCTAAAGCCTCCGGCTGTCTGGCTCCAGGCTGTCTTTCCAGGCCGACTCCCCATTAGTTCCCCTCAAGCACCTCTACGCTTCAGGCCAACTGGCTATACTCTCTGTCCCTCTGCAAAGGCTGGCCCACCCTGCCTTGTATTTATGTTGTATATGTTTATGCATTGACTCCTCAGTGAATGTGTCATGTCCTCCTCCCAGTAGAACGGAAGCTCCTCGAGGGCAGGAATCGTTTCACTTTTTTATCTAGCAGTGCCTAACATAATGTCAGCAACATAGTACTCTACACTCACTTGTTGACTGATCCTCTAAAATCTTGTGTCAAGGGAATTTACAGTCTGTGGAAACCCTGACAGGTTAACCAGCCAGCATTCCAGCATTCCCTCAATCTTAGCACCTACGAGAGGGCTGAGCTCTGAAACGAGGGAACCTTTACTGCTTTCCTTCACACCAGAGCATTTTAAGGGGAAAACTACAGAGAAAACCAGAAATGTTTGTGCACGGTCAGTAAGAGGCGCTCAGCATCACCCTCCATCCACAGAGCCCATTCTTACGTGGCCCAAGAGGCTTTGAGGGAAGAGACGGCTCTTCTGCTGAGGCCGACGATCGGCTGGCTCTCCCCAACCTTCCTTGCTTGTCAGCGCCGGGAAGAGTCAAGGCAGAGGCGCGGGCATCCGGAGACGCAGACCCCATCTCGGCCTCCACCACATAACCACTGCCTGTTGCCTTCCTCTCCACAGGCTCCAACATCTGACAAACCAGTCTTTAATTTCTTCCCTCTCATAGGCTCCCCAAGAATCAACAAAGCTTTCACTTTTCTGTCACTCTTTTCATGAATGGGCTACAAAGATTTCTATTTCCTCAAAACTCCCTTCTTTCTTACCCTCTTACAATCTAAATTCTACCTCTTCACCTGCTACTTAAACAACACAAGCCTCACCGAGGTCCTTCTGGTCTATTTTTTTTATATCTCAGATCCTCTGTGACACTTCCTTTCACCCAACTCTCCCCAGTTTAACTGTATGACATGACTGGCCAAGCTCTCCTTCTTCTCTTTCTTTCTTTCTCTCTCTCTCTGTCTGTCTGTCTGTCTGTCTCTCTCTCTCTCTTTCTTTTTTTGGAGGCAATCCGGGTGAGAAGACAGGGTCACACAGCTAGTAGGTGTCTGAGGCCGAATTTGAACTCCAGCCCTCCTGATCCAGGCCTGGCATCTGCTGCACCCCTTAGCTGCTCTTCCACCAGCCATGTATTTCATAAAATTTCTACTTTTGTGTATGCCAGCTTAAAATACAAGAGCAAAGGGCTCCTCACCAGAATGGAATGAACAAGAGCTAGGGGGAAAAACTTTTATTTGCTGATACTCTTATCAAATACCTTTAAAAGAATTTCAAATAGCAAAAGAAGGAGGAAGAGGAAAACCTGCATGTGTGCATGTGTAGGCGTGTGCATGTGTCAGTGTGTATATATATGTGCGTGTCCACCCGTCTGTGTGTGTGTCTGTGCACGCACGTGTGTCCGTATGTCCACCAAAGCCAGATACCAGAGATACACAAGCATTTATAGGAGGCAATCTCCAAGAAGGTCTTTTACGAGACGGGTCTCATGTTCGATCCTAGGCACACAAAGGCAAAGATATATAAGGAGAATCAATGCACAAGCAATGAGAGCCAGTGATAATAAAGCCCGTGACCTCCCATTCCTAGACAACAAAGGCATGGGTTACAACTAAGATTAACCAGAAATCCTTATGTGAGGAGGCAAGTGAGACCTCAGAGATAACACAAGCTTCCTGGGATGAGCCATGAGACTGGATGATGGCTCTGAAAAAGGAAACTTTACTCAAAAGAAGAGAACAGGCTAAAAGGGCATGGTGGAGGGGTACTTCTATGAGGAAGTCAGGAGGAGAGGCTGGTGCAGATCACTGGAGTAAATGCAGACAAGGGCAGATGTAAAAGGGAGGTGGTGACTGCTGAAATGTAGATCACAAGGCTGGCCCAGGGGCAGGATACAGCAACAAGGACTCTTCAATTCTCCAGACGTCTGCTGGAGTCCTTTAGGCCAAAAGCAGCCGCTAAATACTTTACCGACTTGCTTTAAAGATAATTTAATCTTTCAGAAGTTGCAGCAACTGACAAAGGGAACTGTCCTTCTGAATCTGACCCTCACAATCGAGGAGGAGCTGGCTGGGAACTCTGGGGACCTGGGAAGAAAGGGATGAGGCTATCTCACAAATCAGCTAGGCGACGGGCAGGATAAACACGGGAAGCTCTTCCAGAAGGAAAATCTGAAGACCCCAAGCTAAAGAATCCTAACGAGGAAGGAAAGGGAGAGCTTTCTAAATCTGGCACAAGGGCTCGGGAAAGGTCTCATGGAGGAGGGGAGGGGAGCCAAGTGAAGAAGGCCTGGCATTCTAAGGAGCAAGAGGCAGGGAAGGAGGCATTGGAGAGGGAAGATGGAGTGCTTCAAGGAAGAGTGAGAAGGCCAGCATGGCTGAAAGGTAAAGCCAGCATGCAGGAGCCATACAACACTGAGTGCACACAGGAAACACCACCCACAATTTTGTCGATGTGGACAGAAGATAGATGTGTGGGCAGGTAACTGAAGAGGAATACAGAAGTATCCTTTAAGAATCCGATCTGGAATGCTAAATCTCAAGAAGAGTTCAATCTGGTGAAGACGGCTAAGGAACGATATCAGGTACTACTAGGTGCCAGTGAGTTGCTGTGCTAAGCAATGTGCAAATATGATCTCACTGGGCACTCCCAACAACCCTGTGAGGTGCGTATTATTCACCCCAGTTTGCAGCTGAAAAAGCTGAGGAAGACTGAGGTGAAGTGAGCTGCCCAGCTTCACACAGCTGCACACGGGTGCAGCTCTTCTTGAGCTTGGGCCCACAGCTCCACACCCAGGGCCAAGGTGTCGCTTTTTTGTTTTTTTTCTTTTTTAATACAGCTCGGACTACTACTCGTGGGCCGGAGATGACAACAGAGAGAAGGTGGAGCTGCTCCACTCTCATTTTGCTTCTGTTTTCCCTGGCAAGGGGAATGACCTTTGGGCTGGAAAAGATTAAGAAAAAAGGCTAATAGGAAGCTGCTAGCCAAGATGAGGAAGGAAGAGAGAGCCTAACTGCCCTAGAAGAATCCAAATAAGCAGATTCAGATTGACTACAAGTCTGTATAGAATGTACCTTTTCCACTAGTGTTTGACTCTTTGGGACCCCTTTTGGGGTTTTCTTGGCAGAGATACTGGAGTAGTTTGCCATTTCCTTCTCCTGCTCATCTTACAGATGAGGAAACTGAGGCAGAGAGGGTGAAGGGACTTGCCTAGGGCCACCCAGCTAGGAAGTGTCTGAGGCTGGATTTGAACTCAGAACGACGAGTCTTCCAGACTCGGCGCTCTGGGTACCATGGCACCCCCTAGCTGCCCCACAGAACGTACTGAGGCTTTACTGAAACATTCGATACCACCCTGCTGGTCTGGTTGTGTCTAGTGCGCAAATGACAGAAAGACGTCAGTATAATTAAGTGGATTCAGAAGCGCCTGAGTGATTTCTAGTGGAGTGCCTCAGGGATCTGCACCTGGCCCTGACCTGCAGATCCCACATTCATCCAATTCCCAGCTGACACAAAGCCAGGAGAGAAAAGCAGCATCCCAGAGGACAGAGTCGGGATCCCGAAAGATCTGACTAGAACGTGCTGCTGAATATCATAAAGCAAAATCTAAGAGCAATACATGTGACGTCTTCCACCAGAGCTGAAACAAGCCAACTTCACAAACATCAGATGGGACAGGGCAGCTGTCTTTAGGGTGCAGGTC